GGGGAGGGAGGAGGAGGGGAGGGAGGAGGGGAGGGAGGAGGAGGGGGAGTGTTAACATAATGGAGCACTTACCATGTTCCACGTACCACTCTAAGCACTGCCTGTGCCCACCTCATTTAATCCTCATCAAAACCCTGTGGAATTACCTCCTCTTGCCCTCATTTTGAAGGAAACTGAAGTCTTGGGGAATTTACTGAAATGCCTGAGGTCCCCAAGGCAATGAGCACCAGAACCAAGATTTGAACCCAGGAAGAGTGACTCCAGAGGACCTACCTCTTAACAACTCCACATGGAGGGGAATCCTCACAACTATCCCATTAGATAGGGGTCGTCCCAATACCCACTAATCAGATGATGAAACCGAGAGATGGAAGTGCTTGCCCAAGGCCTGATTGCCTTCAATCTGGGGGAGTTTCTTACCAAAAGCCGTCCCTGTCAGATTCAGCAACCGACCTGCAAACAGAGGACAGAGAAGTCATTAGCTGCCTTGGAGATCTGGCCATGAGCCACCCTCTCACCCAGCCAGGCTCTGTATTTCCCTGGGTGCCAAGGTCACGGTGGCAAGTTATGGAAGCAGGCGTTGGTATGTGATGAAGAAAACCCAGTCTCTTCCTGGAGATTTACCTACATCAGCTCACGAGTTCTTCACACCTTGCCAGGTGAGACAGGTGGGACAGTAGCCACTCTTGGCACCACTCCCCATCCACTGTACCAGGGTGGCACACTCATCTGTTTCACTGGTCCAGAAGCGATGACAGACAGATGCAGGAGTGTAACAGCACAGCCATCCCCTTGCCTCTGAGCAGGTGAACGTCTCTGGTGCAATTCACACTCTAGAGCTCCAGCGGGATGGGCTGTGGCTAAACCTCTCCTGAAATGCCTTCTGAGTGCCTAGTTTCTCCCCCTGCCCTATCCTGCTCCCCTCACTCCTGCAAGTGTCTGCAAGTGTCTCCTGAGAGCCCTCTCTTCATGAATTACTCACACCAGAATCCCCATCTCAGGCTCTCTTTGGTGGAAACTAACCAAAAGATGATGGTAATCCTTATTTTTGTTTCTTTTGTTTTTATCTTATTTTAAGAAGGGAATAATTGCTTCTTGTAAAAATAAATCAAGCAATGCAGAAGTGTATAAAATTAAACGTGAAGATCTCCCTGTCCCCTATCCTTATATTCAGAGGTAACCATTGTGTAAAGCTTAGAGTGAATCCTTCAAGGCTTGGGTCCTAGTCACAAAATCAACCATGCAAATATAGTATCAAATAGAAATAAATTTATAAATTCACATAATTTTCTTAACACAAATGGGATCATGCAATCTGCAATCTTCTGTGCTCTCTAATACAGTAGCTACTATTTACACTTAAAACTATTAAAATTAAATAAAATGAAACATGCCATTCCTCAGTCATATCAGGCATTTTTCAACTGCTCAATAACCACATGTGACTAGTGGCTGCTGTGGATATATAACATGTCCATCACCATGAAAAGTTCTTTTGGGCAGCTCTGTTCTATTTCTACTTGCTCTTTCACTCAACAGTATGTCTTGCAAACCAAGAGAAGCAAAATTTGTCAAGCGTTGAAGCTGGACAATGGGCACATGGCCATTTGTTATACTATTTTC